AATATCTTTCAAATCAGTTGTTAAAGTCCAGTTAATTAAAAGGCTTATACAAGTCACATATAAAAAAAGAATTGTGCGATGACAGAAGCTCTGCCTTCAGTACTTTGTTTATGGGTGCTCACTGTGACTTCGAAGGATAGATGCTCCTCACGTCCCATCTGAACGCAAGCTCGATCCTGTACTCCCTTCACCCCACCCACACAATTCGAGGGTCTTTTCTGAGGATACGTTTAGAATAAAGTTTATGTTTCCCTTTGGTCACAGTCTTTTTGGGAACTGGGGGACAGTCCGTGACGAGGTAATACTCGTAAGGGCCGATGACGGTATGCTACGTACAGTGTGGGACAAGATTGCATTCAGATGGGACGTGTGTCGCATCACTAGTGGATGCCACATCGAACACTTATAAACTGCTGTGTTGGAATTCGTTTTCCAACATGTAACCTGAATAAAAAGTTACAGATCCAAACATTTTAAATTGTACTTTGCTCCGTAGTCACGGCTTATGTGACACCGGTAGATTTCTTGTAAGAGCCATCCGAGATTCAAGGGCGACAGCACTCCAATTAGGCAATTTTGTATCTTGCAGGCCTTTACCCACAACAAACGCACATTCCAAGTACACGGTATATCCTTCCCACATGTATGTATTTGTGATAATGCTTCGTCCACAGTGCATTGTAATATTGTAACTGAAAAAACATATTACGGGGAAGTCAGCTTTTCTTTGAATTCTCAATATACGACTCCCACACTAAGTCCTGTAACTTTTCAAAGAAAACGGATGGATGCAAAAACATTTTTAAAAACACCCCCAGCGACCTCAGAGACCTTGAAAACTACTTGCTCGATATTTTGTTACCAGAGACGAACTTCTATGTAGAAGAACAAAGATACTTCAATGAAGAGTTGACCACAGAAGGGTGCCGGTGGTTTTGAGAACTAAAATTACTTGTACTTTTATTAACTTGCTAACTTCACAAAACTATTAGGAACGCGGTTTTTTTGCCTAACAACGAGCATAAAACGTACTTACGACTGCTCTGTTATCATTATAATAGGATTTTTCTGACAATATTTGCAATATCAATAAGTTATTTTAACTAACTAATCTTATGGCAACAGAACCCGCACGACACAGTCATACGTCCATCTACTTTTCTCAAAGTCCTTTTCCTTTCTCTCACTTATTTTTAGATCAGTTTCATCTCCTTCCAAGAGGCGGATTTAAAACAGACTTTCGCATAGAAATTATGCACGTATTTGCCCTAGCTGCATATGAATTTCTTTGTAACCTCTAAGATTTCGCATTTAACAAAGCTATGTGACCTGCATACATCACGAAGCTATGTGTTATGTCATATCCTATATTTTGCACCTGGGCTGTACCTAAATATTTAGCATATTATTTTGAAAAACAAAGGGATTGAAGGATTTAATTGTTTATGAACTTAATAATAACAATAATACCTTCTAATTCTGTCACGTACATCTTTTAAATTGTCATCGATTTCCCTTGATATATTTGGAAACATTTCAGATACAGGCTTCATTAAATCTGTTAACTATTTTGCCATGTATAGACACGAAAGTAATATTACGTTTTCAGAGCGAGTTCTCAAAACCAAACACGACCATAACACAATTCAAATAAACATCTCCCTGCTGTGCACGTCTGATACTTCTATCAGAAATGTTTGTTTGTGACAGTACGTACAGGTAATAAAAAAGCGATAAAGAGATTATATTACAATATTCATTGTAATTAACAAGTGTAGCACAAAATTAAATTCCACTGACAACTTTAATTTTATCCTACCATATTAAATTTAATGCGAATTAGTCACCATATTTTGTGAAAACAATGCATGTGGTCCGAAGGAGAGATGAACGTGACTCTCCTCTGTACTTTTTTGAGTCGTTTGATTAGCTTAAAGAACTTAAAAAGGCACTTCATTTCTTTGACATTTTTAAAATAGGTTATAACCAAAATAAAGTGCAAACCAAATCTCAGGGCGTCCTTCGCATTGTACGGTTTGCATGATAGCTTCTTTGAACGTGTGTCTAAGCAAAAAGTCCGGTATATTTCTCCAGATAATTGGCCATTAACCTTAAAAGCAAAATTTACATTTTTCCTCAAATTAACAAGAAAAATAGGTTGAGGTTATTTTGCTTCGTACCACCTACAACGAAGGGCATAAAAGTCGGAGCACGAAGATAAAAACTGTTATCGTAATGTGGCTAAAATTTTTATGCATCTCCTCGCTTAAAAGACGTTTATGTAGTTTCCTCCGTCCTCCGGGTGTTTGTTATTCTCTTGCGTCCAAATACCCCTCTCCCGTTCTCAAACACCCACAATTTGTGTCTTTCCTTTATAATGAGAAATCGGGTTTCAAGTGTGTGATATGAGTAACGTAACAAGTATATGTATTTTAATCTGCAGACTTTTAGACGGGATGCTGGAATTATGACTTAAAGTATTTTTCTGTAACAACCATTAATAAGGATTTCTGAATGGTTTTATATAACCGTGTTTATTTATGGTAATTCATTAAAAATAAGTTTTACTAAAAACACTGAGAAAGAATTCCTTTATACTGTAAAGCAGTACTGTAGGTAAATTTCATCATTACTGCTAGAGAATTTGATTAATTTAAAATTGTATCACAATGCAGTTCAATTTTGGTAGTGTGTGATAACAACGTGAATTGAATTAGTTTAGTGATTACACAATGTAAGCTCTTATTTTTATTAAATACTTGTTTAAATGACTTGCAGTGTACATTGTCGCAAGGACTTGAAAATTAATTACTTTTCATTTATAAACTTTCTTATCCTTGAATTCTCAGTTTCTAAAGTCTGTAATTAGTTTCTATTTAAAACTGTGATACGTAAAAAGTACATAAAAGAGAAATAGCTTGATGTCCTGTAGAATTGAACTAACACGCCAGAAAGGCTAGAATATAAAAAAGGAGTCTCACAAGTACCTATATCAAACATGAAATAAATTTTATATAAATCTTGAAACCGATTTCGGCTGGAATTCCGAATTTGAAAATTTTACGCAGGAGCCCACACATCCTTACTCACGCGTGTACGAAACCATACACACAAGGACGCCTGAAATTTCTTCCCGCTGATTTCTTTTTTCGACTTATTTAGTTACAAATGAATACAAAATTTCATGTGAGTTACATTATTTGTTTAAAGTCAAAGTTTGTGATGACTTAAGATTGTAACTGCCTAGATGTAGCCAATTATTAGATCCCTTTGGTTATGAGCTAGAGACTCTTAATGTCTTTATAGATAATTCAATTCAATTCATTTATTTAAGTGCTTGACAACAGCCAAAAAGGCCAATAACAGCCAAGCACTAAACCAGAGTACAGGATAAAATATAATAAATAATTAAATTCATTTCAAAATAATAAAAATAAACATTAAAAATACAAAAACAAACAAATGAAACTAAATATATAAATATACCATATTAATAATTCAATTCATTTATTGAATAATAATAATAGTTCAATAATTAAATATCGCAAATTAATTTAATTTATTTTTCTGTATACATCATAAACCACATTGCCAAACTGACGAGGATTGTTACCGGCAGATTAGTTCAAATTTGTAACATTGGGTTCATATATTGATGGTCATTCTTTAAATTTATGCCAGTAATATCAGATATATATATATATATATAATATTATATGTTTTGCGTTGGCAGGACAGAATAGTTTAGAACTCTGAATGAAGGTCTGCTAGTTGAGATTCTTAAGGTCAGGAGGTTTGGCTACCCCTGCTCTGAAGAGTCTTGAGGGCGGCATTTTGAAGTTCGTCTGAGAACGGTGCATTACACTGCATCAACAGCCCTTCCCCGTGTCATTGACCGTTATGTTGACTACAGCAGCGTGTTTATTAGAGGTTCGTCTTCCAATTTTGTGAAACTTTGAAGTTACTAAATTCACGCCTACATGGCGTCACAACCAAGAAGACTGTAATGAAAGTGTTCACCGTCGCGAAAATCTCAGTTCTCACAAAGCTATTCTGAAGAGCAATAGTTATACTGTGTAAAAGGATTTTAAGGAACACAAATGCTTCTCACTTTATTAAAAAAAAATAGTCCCCTGTTCCTTTAAGTTCTGTTTCAGTATTATGTTTGAAGTTTTCACAATGGCTGTCTTCTGGCCTGTAACGGTATGCAGTCTAGTAGAAGTTTACCAGTGGTTTAGAGGTCCTTGCGGCCTCCATCATCAGGGTAAATCATAAAACCATTTTGTCGTTATTAAGTGCTTACAGGCTGATGCGCTGACGTTTTATTTGACTGTGTTAGGGTAGGTTGGGTTCGTTTATGTTAGTGATACTCATGCACATGTGTAGAAGGCTTCTAGTGACGTCATCATCATGTTTTAAATCTTCAAGCAAATGACCCGTTAATTATCGAATGTAGAAAGTAAACCCATCCGTTGCATGTCAATGTTGGCACTTATGAGAGAGGAGGTATGTCTCTTACTCATTTCCAATCTGGTAATTAGAAGGGGGTATGTGGTCAGTAGCCCCTTGTACCGATTGGGCAGAAGCCTGGGTGGTCCCCAGAGCCAGTCTGGACCTAAAGGTCATCTGGACCTAAAGGTCATCTCTGTTGGAGATTGAACACCGATCGTAGAAAACAAGTGCGTGTGCAGTTGTCACATGTGGCTAATGTCCACATGCAATATGGTGAACATCCTTTTGATTTTAAATGTTCAATAAAGGCACACTTTGTATGACAGTTGAAGTTGTGGTAAGGTTATATTACTTTAGCCTGTATCTAAGCTTTACGTTGGGTAAATCTTACTTGCACGGACTATAGTCTTATGCCCATATCATATGCTTGTTCGTTTATGATACATATGTACATGAATGACATGAACTGCAGATTTCGAATTGGAAATCAGGATGCTATCACTCTTTGTCAAGATATTTTGTGTTGGTAGCGCTGGCTTACTTGTCAGCCTTTGGTCAAAGAAGTTAAACCCAGAGACATGACGCCTAATTCGTATGTTGCGTTGGAGTTCGTTAACGTTGGGACGCTATTTGTTATTGTATTTTGAGAATATACGAAGTAAACGTAAACACAAATTAATATAACATCACAATGAATTCTGCAAGTAAGGTAAGTGTGTTTAATTCATGAATTCAAAATACTTTAATTTGTAATTTTTTACGTTATGTCTGAGTATTGATAAATAATTTATTATTTACGCGCAGGTATGACCAGGCTTTTACTTGAAGGGACAGTGGAAAACCGCGAAAACCCTATGTATGGCTATATAGAAGTATACTCTAATTAATGCATGGTTCAATATTTCGTTAATGTATTTACGTTATCTAACCTCTGGACTTCATGAAATATTAAGACCATGACTTATTTATTATAATAGTTGACTCTGTTCATAGTGACCAAGAATTATAGCCCATTGTTTAGTACTTTATTTTTCTCTGCGATTGATTTTCTTAAATAGTTTGTGATATTTTGAGGTTATGTTGGATGAATTGTAAGTTGCATTTAAGCCTATTAAAGTTCCTGTAAAGAATGTGAAAGAAAGTCATTGTTCTGTTGTAATTTAAGTTCTCCTACTTGTGCTACACTAGGGTAGACAGCTCTTGCATCCCTAAAAGAAATTGTGCATTTAGTTCTTTACAGTTAGTAATGACTAGTTATAACACCTTCATGCATCACTGTTCATCGATGGTTCATCACTGCACAGTTATGAACCTGGGCGTGTTCTTACAAAATGTTAGTGTCTATATTATAAATTGATATTACTGAGTGTAGAAATATGCTGTCCTCAGCAATTAAACACCAGACTGTAAGGGCATAGATGATTTCAACATGCAATGATCTTTTATTCAGATTTATTACTCTGTGACACACACTCACTTACTAACTCACATGTTCATGATGACATACCATAACTGTAAACTAGGAAAATCTGTCTAAAGTAATTTATTTTAGAAAATTGATTGAATCCCCCCAAAAGAAAACTTTCCATCAATTTCTAATCTTTGGCATGAGTTCCGTAATGAATTTTGGTGCAGGTCACTGAGCTGATTTTGTGTCTTTAAGATGAATTATAATGGTATGGTACTTGGAAGGGCTTGGAGGTCTTTGATGCAAAATGCTTGAAACTGGTGACCTGACTCCTACCCTCTAATCTTATATGACAAATGTAGAAATAATTTATAGAATGGAAGTTAAAATTATCAATCTAGGGTGCCTGTTCCCAGTACAGTGTACACATTATAGTTTGACACCCACTGTGCTGAAAATATCCTTGTCCTAATGTTATGTTTGAAAATTGACAGAGACCAGTGGCAAGACCTGTAATTTTTTTAACCACTCTCATGTATTGTTGGCCCTGTTCTAAATGTATGAGTGTACATTAAGTGACGAGTGTAACTAAGATTCAATTTTTAAGCTCTTGTTGCTCCTGCTTATTCTTTATTCTTAATTTTTATAATTTTAAATACAATGTAAGGAAGTCTTTTCTCTCTGGAAATGTTTGTTGAGGTCTGGTTTCAGATCAGCATGAGCAGAAAAACAATTATTCTGTAGTGTATGAAGATCATTGTTTCAATGTGCTATATGTATAAAATATGTATTATTTAGGTTGGCGAGATCTTCACGGCAGCTGGTGCAGCCTTCAACAAATTGGGTGAGCTCACAATGCAGCTTCATCCCACAGCTGATTCCCCAGCAGGGTGAGTGCATGAAGCTTATGAACTTTTGACATGAGTGCTTTAATAGAGAGTGAAATGAACTCATTAACTTACAATTTTTGTTACGTATTTTTATATGCAGTGACTGTTTGCTTCAAAAAGCTGTAGTTATTGTAATATTTATTTTTTCCCACTTTAATGTCTGATGCTTTACAATTCACACAGTCCTGATAATCTGAATGTTTTCTTCTGTGTCTAGATATAGTTCTTCTCTTCTGCTATAACTTGCTTACTCCTTCTGTTCAGTTGGCACATGCATTCAGAGCACTTCACAGTGCAGAAGGGTTGCTTCCACTTGACAAACAGCTGTCTACTGAATTCCTTGCAGCCCAGTATTTATAGTATTTGTGTTTTCACCAGAGGCCACCAGATATTCATAGTTATTTTCAAAAGTCTCTGTGATGTTTAATTATGTTCTGAACACTGGCTCAAATATCATGTGAGCTGGACAGGTTACATACCTCTTTCTTATGTCATACATTATCAGTGGAATTTATTTAGGAAATAATATACTGATGTGAAATAATATTGTATTTGTTGCAGTTAAGTTGGTATGTGAGCTTAATTGAAAGCCTTTCTTGTAATTTAAAATTAAAAAATAACTTGTTCGTCCCTTAAGAAAGTAAAATTTAAATTCATTAATGACTTCAGTTTCCTATCAAATAATGTTTGTCATGGGCTACATTAAAACAAATTTGATCTGCTTTCTTTTTCTTTACCATAGGGTGAGACTGTCTCTATTAAATTGGGACTCTAATGGACTCCTTGCCCATCCACGAGATGATATTTTTCCTTATCATTCGTCAATGTAACTAACTCCATGGAAGAGAGTCCTTGAGTTGTTAATAAGTTGAACAATTGGCCAACAAATTTTGAAACTTTTATGGAACCCGAAGTTTCATTATTGTGTTCACAAGAGTTTGCCAGTTTACTTGATTTTGAGATAGATGACTCTGTCTTATACAGTTGCAAGCTGCACAGCTTGAATTGGTCCATGATGTGCCATTTTGTCATAGTTACTTGACAACTTTTCTTAACTACATAAGTTATGTGCCAGCAAATGATAGTGAAAGATGGGTATGGAAGAAAGTGGTTGTATCTTATTTTAAGGGCTGAGGAAAACCATAAAAAGTTTGTCAGGATAATTTGTCCCTGGGCTGAGGACCAAACACCTCTGCAGTGTAGAATAGGAGTGGTAATTATTACTCTGTGACATTTAGTTGTTAATCTGCCTATATTTAAGTTACTGAACCTGAAAATCACTCCAGTGTATTTTAGTGATGTGGATGCCTAGATGAAGTATTCTTGCCTCCTAACATGTCTGTTTTCTGACCAAAGAGTAAGGAATTCCACAGCTCAGTCTTAACATGAAAAATATAACCTTAATTATCTGTGTGTTTGGTAATAAAAATGATACACAAATCAGTCTTGTGTTTTGGATGTCCAGATTTCAAAAGAGAATATTTTTGTTTCAGGAATCGTAGACTATCTTTGTATGTTCTACTTATTGTTATATATATATTTCACACTATATTTTGTCCTTCTTTGCACCAATTGCATAGCAGAAAGTGGACAGATGAGGAAATTGAAATGCTTCGACAAGCAGTAAAACATTTCGGGGAAGATCTGAGCAAAATAAGTGAACACATCAAAGGCAGAACTGTGTAAGTTCAAAAACCATGTGTGTAATTTTTCCATGTAATAAGATGTACATAAGGAATTAAATAATGTAGAAATCAGTAGTACCATATCAGTTTATTAACATATAATTGATAAATGATATACATAAATGAACTACATTTTGAAACATCAGTTTCTTAATCAGTAATATTTATTATTATTGTAGAGTGGGGAGATTGTTTTACTGTAGTCAGATGTGTTAATCCCATAAGAGCAATGGCGTTGCCACTCTTTTAAATAAAGGTTGTGCATATGTACAAATTTTAAATAGTACAGATTGGAGAGTTACGAGAATGCTGGTGAACTGGAATGTTTTTAATATTCACAATTTAAATATGAATTACCATTTATTACATTTGAGAAATGTTTACTACTTTTCAGTTTAGAATTTTTATCTTTCTATCTATAAACTTGACATGGTGGTGGGGCTTGAGTACCTCAGTGACCCCAAGAGCTACTGGTAGGGCCTCCCTAGCCAGATTGGTTGAGGGGGAGAGGTCAGACTAAGACAGGTACCCTGGTCCTCCAGGTTGGGGGTTGGTCGCAAGACTAACAACCTTGCACCGTGAAAAGGAAGATGGTTTGAAACCTCAGTCAAAGCCTCGGACAGAACGGACCTAACAGAGGACCGAATGGAAGAGGAGGATTGAGGAGGCCATGGACCGAATACGGACCGGAGAGCCATAGAAGAAGAAGAAGAAGATCTATAAACTTAGACATTAAAACATGTAAACACCGTAATCTAACTTGTTTATATGTGTGTGGAACGTATTTCATACAATGTGAAAGACAGAGATCGAGGGTGTTTGAAAATGGAGTGCTGAGGAGAATATTTATGCCTGAGTGGGAGGCAGTAGCAGGAGGATTGATAAAATTAAATGAGGGGCTTCACAGTCTTTGTATATATTTTGAAGGTCCTATGTTTGAATCCGAGTGCAAAGATTGGCTATCCTGGCTGAGATTTGTTTATGAGTGTCCTCAGTCCTTCCAGACAAGTACTAAAATATTGCCACAAACTAGGCCCTGACCCATTTTTTCCAGTGTATCATTCACAAGTCATTTGACATTTTATGCTACATGAGCTATGCAGTTTAAAAAGCATATTTAAATAAGGCAAGAATTAGTATACCATTTCAAATTGGAACATGACAGTTGAGTAACTTATATTGTATTTATATTTCACAATATTATTTAAGGATGTATTTTGCCAGAAGAAACTTATGTCAGCAATTTAGACAATAGAAATTCCAGCCTGTAAACTTATATTTCTTGCAGTTACCAGCCATTCATGCAGTAATATATAGAATGTGATCAGTAGATGCTATTGGCCAGTGTATTTGCTTTTTGTGGAAAAATCGCTTTTTGTCATTTTATGTAATGTTTGTATACAATATGACTCATCATTTTTTTTTCAAAAACGTACTGCTTGCTCATTAAGTGTCAGTGTGGCTCATTGTACTCATTTGTAGACATTCACGAGTGTAGGATTCGGTTTATCTTAATTTTATAGATTTGCAAAACATGGGAAAGACTTGGAATTAATTTTTTTTCAGATTCTGTGTTACATTACAGTGAAACCCGTTTGGCCAAAGTATATAAAAAGAAATACAGTATGTCAAAAATAAAGCTTTAATCCAAGGAAAGAGGAGAAAAGAGTCTGAGGCGACCCATACATAATGTGGCCGATGTACGTCTGGGTCAGTAAAATTTTGTAAGTTTGAAAATGTGATTGATCTTTAAATTTGGGACTAATTCATATTCTCCTTACTCTCAGTTCACAGATCAGAACAACACTAAAGAAGAAGGCGTTTGAAGATGCGGGGCTTCCAGTTCGGACAATTCAGACTGTTCAGACTACTCAGGCATCTCAACAAAGCATGATGAGTAAATCGTCAGAGGTGACACTTAATATGCTGAATGCACCTGAATCGGAAGTTGACGTTGAAGGGCTTCCTGAAGATGTTAAATTGGAATTTGAAGGTGCTACAGAAGAAGTGACAGCCTAATATTTTCATGTTGTGATAAAACAATATTGTGATTGACGTGTACAATTAACATGTGTTATGCAAGTTTTATTGAGTTGTAGACCATTTTTGTGTTGCTTTATATTGGAAATCTTGCAGTTATTAATCTTTTGACTGGAAATAGTGTTTATGAAGTGTATGAATACTTGTTTTTTTGTTGTAATAAATAAAATGTCACTTTATAAGCCCTGGTAAGCCAGTCACAGTGGTCATGTGGTCAGAGGCGTGGGCCTTGTGCCACTTGGTCGCTGGGACCGTGGGTTCGAATCCCACTCAAGCCAAGGATGTTTGTCCGCGTTTTTCTGTGTTGTGCTGTCCTGTGTACAAGTAGAGGCCTTGCGACAGGCCGATCCCTCGTCCAAGGAGTCGTACCAAATGTCTAAATAGATCACGCAACCTCCAAAAAGAGAGGAAAGAAGCAGACCCCGCCAAAGCGGGACAAAAGCTAAGAAAAGGAAGAAAAGCCCTGGTAACCCAAAATATACAGTTGGCTTAAAAGGGAACATGGAGTAACCAGCGAAATTCTTATACATAATAATTTATTGTTTTACCATCTATATCAAGAAAAACTATAAACAGAATTTTTATCTCATTAAAGAGAAATTTTGGATAGTTGTTAAAGGAAGCCACTTTATGCACTGTGGATAGTAAGAGACCAACCTTCTGTGCCTGTTATAAACAGCATACATCTCTCTCACATTTTTTTATTGAAGTGCGCGAATTTTACAAGTATCTTTAAAACCTTAAAGAAAATTGAAGGGCTGTAGGTCTTGTGCAGAATTGAGTTAAAGATGCAGCTGTCCTGAAGACTAATACAGACAACACTGACATAAATGCAGCAACATGTTTGTTACATGTAAGTAAATGCATGTTTTATGGTATGAAAGTTGTCTTGATTTTATAAGAAAATTGTACATTTCCTGGGTTTAAATTTTGGCCTGTACACTAGGTATCCTTACTGTTTTTATGAGTTTCCAGTCTATCCAGGCAAATTCCAGAATTTTACCTTAAATTAGGCTATGACCAGTTTTTCCAAAATCCTTTTCCAATTCATTTATCATCTTGAAAGTCAATTGAACAACTTAGATGTAGGATGACCTGTACTTGAACATTGTTGCTGCAAAATGCTGTGGGGAAACTGGTTTTCACCCAAACACTGGTAAGTCATCATCAAGTAGCATAAATAAAGCAAGGTAGTGTAATGTAACTTGAAAGGGAAACCAGGAGGAAGGGAGAAGTTAGCTATCTAATTCACAGGGGGGACAAAAACCTGTCTGTGAGTGACTGGAAGTTAGTGTAATGTGGAACTATGCTTTTCCATTTTGTCTCGTCCATACTCTTAAAAATACAGTAAGGTGATATTGATGAAATTTGGTAATAGAGAATTTTATAAAAATTGCGGAGCCTTTTAAAATTTAATTTAGATCAAGTATCGCCAGCATTGGACCGTTGGTTCGAGTCCCGCACAAGGCATGGATATTTGTCTAAGACTGGCCACAGAAGGCAAGGCTAAACCACCGTGGAACTTTAGCAAGAAAACCCCAATGCTGTTGACGGTCAAAGCTGACCACAGAGGTGGAAAAATAAGTATCGCCATTTGCCAGTGTAATGATTTTGCTTATTGAAATGTTTTTATTTCTTTCATTCACAGACTACTTGTGTATACATATTGGGATAACCTGTATTTGATTTATCTTGCATTCCTCCCTAAATCCACGGCCAATTTGTAACGATTTAATTGTTGATGTTTGATAATTGGTAGAACTGCGAGATCTCGCGTTAAATCCATCGATACCGGAAAAGGATCCACGCTGTCTTCATTTCATATAATGTGATCGATTGATGAGATTTTACTTTAATGTCGATTCCTTAGGGTATTAAAACTAACAAAAGTGGTCTTGGTCTCAGTGTCAATGTTTGTGCTGCAGTTTCAAGTAGCAGTGGAATGGCGAAGTGGATATGACGTTTCAGGTAATCGGAGAAATTTATAATTACACAAGTACATGTAATCAAGTTAAACACATTTATTACCAGGCGGCATCGCGGTTGTAGGTAAAATAAGATATAAAATACGGCGTTTAGTTACACATGCCACTTTTGCTCTTATGACGCAGCCTTTTCGAACATGTATGTAAGTAGTACGTACTTAACCCAATTACATTTATTCGACTAACCCAGATTTGGTAGTGTAATGGATAATTCAGACAGAATAGTAATTTTTGTTAGGTCCATTAATTATAAAATCTGAATTCATTGACGTGGTAGAACAGGGCCATATTTAGAAGGGTGTTTGTGCTCTCAGATCCTGCTTAAGATGGCAAGTAGTTTTGTAGAAGTTTACCAACATTTTAGAGTCTTTGCCACCTCTTATCATCAGCAACGATCTCTCAACGATGATAACTTTAGTACTCATTGCCATGAGAACCCGAAATCCAAATTAAGAACCTAGTTTGTGACTGTAACAATGGTGATAAAAATTTGTTTCACAATGTTCATGAAAGTAAGTACTGGGATGCCACAGTATTAAACAGTTTGGCATGGTCACCATATTGCCAAGCTTTGCTGCAGGTTATGACTTTGAATACTAATATAATAGTTCATAGATATTAAGAAGTTTCACAGCAGTTTACTTGATACATAGTGGAGTTATACAAATATGTATTAATATCACATGGACTTTTGAGAAAAGGGTTCATCAGTTGTGGTTCCAAAGTATTTTTGAAAACTAAGTGTCACTAACAATTTTTACCAAAAATATTAACAGTAATTTGGTGTACAGATATTTCCTTAGAAGTGCTGTGAGCAGTCAAGAAAATTTCAGTTGCTATGTGGCAAAATTTTGCTTCAAGAAGCCTCGCATGGAGAAGTGATCAACATCTTAAGGATACCGTAGGCAACATACGCAGTCTGTCTTACTGCAGTAATTCCATCAGGTGCAAAATCTCTTGATTTTGACTTCATTCAACCATTTTATTTTAATTCTGGTTTGATATGCATTCAAAGGTTAGGCTACTTTAAAGAAAATACAGATCCATTTTCTGATCGTTTTTGTATGAGTTGCTGGTTGAGAGATTCATATCAACATTCTAGTAGAATGGACCTCCTATTAGTTTGTGTTTTTCATTGACTCATTTTTGATGATGACATATCAGACTCTATGAAATTTAATGTAACTCATTGCTGAAGAATGACGCAATTTCGTAATTTTCAATACGGAAGTTAATTATTGTAACTCAACTGTTAAGTCTTTGTATAAACCAACCCAAAACTTTTCCATTGTTGGTCAAAATTTTAATGGCCTTTCATCCACATCAGATCTGATATTTGTATTTATGTAATTTGGATCTGGAATTAAGTATTGACATAACCTCCACCGCACCTTCCATAGTTGCAGCAAGATGTCACTGACGCACAGCACAAGACGTTGAGATTGGCTTTAAAGTAAGAGAGACTTCTGTTGAGATCATATGTTGTGTGATATTTTATTACTGACGATAACTGAGTAGGAATGTAGTGAACATTTAATGTAATGTGGTTTTCATAGCATTTATGAGTATGAATTGTACAGTCTTACGTAATGTAACTGCATCATCAAAAATACTGAGTGTGATAACTGACATGTGCACTGTTATTTTGCTTAAGTCATAATCCTTTGTTGCAACATTCTGTTAGCCTTCAGCTTTGTCATGAATATGCTGAGAGTTTGATACTAGAAATTTATAAATTGGAGTCATTGCACAGGTAGCCTTCGGTTTGCGCCGGTTCAAATTTGCGCCGATTCAGAATAACGCCGATTTTGAAACCAGAAAGTCAAAAAGTGGAAAAAATATATTTTACTGTTATTTATAACGTTTTACAATGTATCTCGTACTGATTCTTATACTAAATCGTAATTCTTACATAGCTGATTTTGAATAAACATTATAAATACAATCATCTCTGCAATTACGTATGTTTAGTTAACCCGAATTTGCTCCAATGAGATCGATGAATCGGTAAAATCTGTTTGTGAAATGCAAACTTTTGCATATGCGAGTTTCCTCTTGTGCTACAACGAAGAGGAGCGTTATGGCATCCATGAGGCCTTATCGTGAAATTTTGAAAGAAAGAAGAAATCACGACAGTCCACACTACATGACTTCTTTAAAAAACATGACGAACCTCAACCAGGGACTTCGTCAGAGAACTAACGCCTCGTCATCACGTCATCACCTTTTGTAAGTGATAAAATATATTTTTTAAATTCCCTTTATTTTATTTACATTATTTCAGAGCTTTAAATGTAATGCCATTATATTACTCGTCAATGTTTGGGCGCTGGGATCGCATGTCATCGACTTCCCATTGATTTATGTGTGTTATATGGATTACAGTTTTATAAATGCTAGTATTGATGAAACTGATCATGTAATTGCTTCAGGTAGCTATTTATAATGTTACTCCGATTTATTACGTTTACCAAAATTTCATGTTCGCGAATGACATTCATTTCCTTGCTGAAGAATGTTGTGATTAATGATACATTGGCTTATGCAAGGATTGTAAGTTTTATTTAATAGGAACGTCAAACAATATAATAACTTTTTTTTTACTTTCTTTGACTAAACTTATAATAGTATGTTTGGAGTAACAGTGGAGCAGTGTTTTGGAACCGTATTTTTTTTTTTATAGACACGAATGCGGTTTGAATTGAATATTTTTCTATTTTTATAACCATATAAAGCAGTATGCATAATAAAATTAAGACATATATAAATATATTTAGTTGTACCGCACCGAAGTTATAATATTGTTTGACTTCACAAATAATTCTCTACGTAAACATCAATATATGTACATGAATGATTTATTTTTTCACACACAAGTACAATAATTAATTTAGGCTTACTATGTATTAGTCATGGTTCAACGAAAGCTGCAAAAGGAAATATCTAGGACTGGAAATTGAAAATGTTTCTCTAGTCAGTTGTTCTGTCTTCTTAACTTTCTCTCTAAACCTATAAATGCCATGCATTAAAATGATGTGTGACGAGAAAGTAGTTTCATAGCTAACAGCGTTACTGACAGTTCGCACTCTCGCTAGCCCGCCCGGGTACTTTTGTTCTCTCGTTTGTCGTGCTCAGTGCAAGAACAGGAATTGATAATGAGACGTAGTGCAAAGACTAGAAGGATAGACTGTCCTGTGCATCCACTGCGCAGTAATTTTCTCTAGTTGATGGATGGCCTTGTGTTTAGTGCACAGAACACCTTGTTTGGACCATCACCGTAAACATTCCTCTCACTTTCACATCACTGTGACAGTGGTGTTGGAATCAGCAGCTGTTCGCTTCCGTAAACGGTTTTTCCCATGACATGTTTTTGTAGGTCAGACGTTTCTATTAACAGAATATTTGTCCTTCGATTTTACATTTTACAGACAGAACATTTCAATTTAGAATTGCTCGTACTTGGAGAGACCCACACTTGCTGATCGAAAATAGACTGTTCTTCGGTTGTTTAAAGTTGACCTGAGTTCTGCGCAGTCACCTTAATGGTGGGAGAATCATTATTTCATAGCATTATTCTCCTTTGCTTAACATCCCCCAAGAATTAAACTTCTCCATAACCACTACACGTGGATTACTTAGTCGTTTAACAGTGTTTTCAAATCGATAGATTACTTTTGTTTTGTAGTAATCATCACTTTATTTGGCAGAGAAGCCATCACCGGTAGGATCAAGAATCCAGGGGTAGTTGTTCGGGCATTCCATGCAGGTGAACAGACGCAAGGTCTCGCCAGGTAGCTCACGAGTTGTCAAGGGGCAAGCGTTGGGCAGAGAACAATAGGGCTGACCCTTTACATCGCATTTTTCTTTCCATTCCTGGAAATCTCGTAGTGACGTCAGTTCGGTGGGATTCTGCATCCACTGGATAACCTGGAAATTTTTTTTTTAATAAGTACTCAACACCATTATTCTACGTGGCACAAAATGGGTCTCGTGTAAGCTTTGATCGTGCAGAATTTATCAGGAACATGATTGAGTGACTGTTTTTATTTTGTCAGAAAACAGGTGTTGATTTTGTAAAGCCTACGTTTTGGAGTATACCTGTTATGCTGGCTAGTTATTTCTGAAAGTAGTTTGACAGTCATAGTGACTTATCCCAGATTCAAATGAGAAGAATACGAAGTATAACGCCCGAGTATTTGCACTGTATCTAAATACTTTGAACAAAATCATTATGCATTAAACGTACGAAATTTAGTTAGAAAGCCTGTTCTTTTGCTGTCTTTATTTTTACTGGTGTGTTTTCGTTCTTGCCACTGGGATTAGTATTTATTTTTCATATGTAAATGGCAGTCCTCAGGGTTTTTTGGCGCCGTATAGTTGGCTGTGTGCCAGCGATTCGAGGAACATACTATCTCCATCTCAACTTTGAACAGAAAAGGTTAATAAGGCTGTAAGGCTCACACTGCCATCGGCACTGAATTCAGATTCTTAGACGCAATTGAAAGAGACTAGAGAATAAATGTATGTGAATCTTAGACTTCCATACAAGCTTTCGACTGAAGTTCGTGATTTTAACTTATGGAGCAGACTTCTTCAGCAGCTGATGGTAGTCCTCCTCTTATGAAATACTAAGATTACTCTGTTTAAAATGACCTATCATTTGACTCTGTCCTGAGCTAGATGAATTCAGGCCACGCCCTCACATAGTTCTTTGTACCTAAAGAGAACAATTGGGAGACTTAGATATAGATGGGAGAATAAAATTAAAATGTGTTAAAAAGTAGAATGAGACGTGTAGTCCTTAAGAAACTGGTGGTCACTCAGCTGGTGGAAGTCTCATTAAAGAACTGGACCGTAATTTCTGTCTAGCGTTATTTAGATGACGTACCTGAAGCATAGTCACGAAATAGACGTCGTTACGATCCAGCATCTCCTCGATGAAGCGGATGAGTTCGTCCTTGAACTCTTTCTTGCTTTTGAGCCAGGAGGCATGGAAGTGAAGGCCAAGTGGCGCACGGTTTGAGTTGAAGTGTCGGTTGAAATTGTGACGGAGAAGTCGGGCGAACTGATCTCCAGTCTGGATGTTGGAGCAAGAGTCCACCATGTGACAACCGGGCAGGGATTCGTCGAACGTGGGGTCATCGCGACGATCCAGTTCGTTCATCACCATTTCCCAAACTGGGTGGCTTCTGCTGGGGCAGTTGTGGGCATTTCCATTGCACTTGTGAGGCATTCGGAAGTACAGGGTGTACGGCCAGATGGGAACTCGCCCCAGAGGCGCTGTGATGGACGCGTCATAGACGAAGAATTGATCAGCCATCATTTCGAACTGCTTGTTGCCGCCCACGCGCAAGTAAGGCGCCCTCATACCGATGATTGAACCGTCAGTGATATTGGCGAAGCGCTCGATGATAAGCCTACCCCCTGCCATCTCGGCCAGCCAGTCGTCGTACGTGCCACCGGACCAGTAGTTCGGGTCGTCCTTGTGCGTCAGAGAGAACACGCCGATTTCATGCCCTCGTCTGTGCAGGTCTTGTACTGCCGAGTAGTTGGTGTACTTGTGCGACGCGAAGAATGTGCCGCGTATCTGACAGCCGTTCGGGTTCTGTCTCAAGCCGTTGAAAATGTCCTCGTATAGGTCAATATTATCGACGTTAACAGCTCCGTTGAAGGTTATAGTGATCATCTGAGGTACCTACAGCATGGAAAATCACATGTTTTTTTTTTTACAAATGTTATACTCATGCCTCAAATAATTTTGTTATACAGAATTTTGTCTGGAGATTAACAAAGACTATAACACAAAATTTATGAAAAAAATGCTTTTGTTAAACACCACAATCGATGTCACGCAAAAACAAAAACAAACGAATCTTTGTCTTAGTGCTTCCAGTTAGACTACGTAAATTATCTTTTTGGTCTTGAAATAATGCTCTTGAAACATGAGACCCCCACAGACAATCCAGTAACATTCTTTAATAATTGGAAATTAGTGGGTGGGGTCATTTGTTATTCATAATTAAAGACAAAGAAAATGAGACCTCCCTTACTATACAAACACTCATCGAGAAAGGACCCTCGAAATTCTACGCTGAAGTGTGAAAAAAAATATTTATTACACTCATAAATTGGGGCAGACTCGTACAGTCTTGGTCGTATGATTACGAGTATGTAAAGAGTGACTTGCACCATAAGTACGTTTCCTCACCTGGTTTGGCTCAATGGCTCCAGGAATTCTTGTTCCGTCAGCAGAGCAGAAGCAGTCAGGGAGGATACACTGGTTTGTGTCACAGTCGGGAGCCCTGTTAGGATCTGTCTCCACGGCTGTAGGCAAAAAAGCAGGTATCAAGAAGTTTGTCAGCCGTGGTATTTCAGCAATCAGTGATTCGGCATTACGCCTACAGATCGTCTTTACAGGTTCTGTCTGTTTTCCAGAATAAGGAATCCATCAAAATTATTAACCGACATCTTTGTGATAAACGCGTAGTTAAAGGTGAGAACAAATTTTTAAACATAAGTTATATGATCTCCGTGGTCTAAGGCATTACTGCGTTGTAGTACTACTTTAAAACCAGAAATTATTACATTGTATTCATTTTTAATATTTGAAGATAACGAAAAGAACTTATAATTTCTCAATTATGTGTGGGAGTGAATCGATGTAGTTTATTTTGAAGTAAATCTAACAAAAACTGTTGAAAACTAACTGCTTAGGAAAATATTAGGACCTAAGAAGGACCAAGTGTGGCATTTATGATATTGAATGACGAGGACCTTTGTTGTTCTAAACAGGTTATCATATATTGTTTAGATAATGAAATATGATTGGCTAGTCATATAGCTAGAATGAAATACTTTCTGTGGAGAAAGTTCTTGAAAAACAGTCACATGGAAGACTGAGAAAAAGACTGAAGAGAAATATTTAGTTGATTTGTATGGAAATAAATTCAAATTATTGATAGCGATAAGTTAAAATCACGTCCAGTTGCCTGCCAACTTTGTTACTGGCTGTTTTGAACTTTCCACGTTTGCTACCAGACAGTTAGTTGATTAAACTACGTGGCAGCAGTAGGTGGAAGATGGTTTAGGGTGAAAATATTTTATTCTGCCTTAAATGCGATTCTGTTTAAAAATTTCTAAGTCGTTCCCCAAGTACCCGGTTCATATTCTGAATCAGGTAACGATTCGAACAACTTTTCAGAAGTCGTGTTAAGTGTGTGTGTACTCACTACAGGCATTCTCGTCGGACTGGTCCTTGCACTCAAACTTGTCGTTGCAGAAGAGCTCCTTGTCGATGCACTCGCCGTTGCCACACGACAGTTTGCCATCGGGACATACAGGTTCGTCCGTCTTGAAGATAGGCATCACCTTCCTGGGCTCTGCGGATTAACACCGTGCTCCAGTTATCACATCTACGCCTCATTAACATGATATACTCCTGCGAACGGCCGCATTGTGCCCTTAATTCGGTGCGCCCCCCACCCATATATTGGGAAGATATGTAGAAAGGTTATAAAAGACAAGGTAGCAAAAGTCCATTCGCAACGTTAAAACAGAAAACACGTAGAAGATGAACAGTGAAGTGAAGTTCTTTTATTTCTATTGTGAAAAAGTTTACCTTGCAGATAGTGCATAAAAGAAAGAACTGTCTTTGTTGTTAGCTCTGTCAGAAGATTTATGTAGTTAAAACAGATCATCAGAAGTGCACGGAGATATGTGCGTTGCGGTACATTTTACTTCTGAAGCAATAAATAACAAGCTGGAAACAAAACGTTATTTTATTGTATTTTATTGATATATTAATTGTGAAACGAGGAAGATTACTGTGAGAAAACAAAATTCTATCCGACAAGGCTATTATTTAGGCACACGAAAAGTAATTAACACATATATAAGGAAGATTTTCACCAATAAAACATAGCAGCAGTTGCACATCACGGCAGGAATTATATTCTGTACACGTCTGACATGTCGATTTTTATGTTTAATATTACTTCTTCTCATATGCTGCTATATTTTATTGGTGTTGCAGTAGTTACACCAAACAAAAGCCGATTTGTCTCATAGCTTTTTGATCATGTGAGGAGCATGCTGTTTGATGTTTCATTGCATAAACATGCGAAGAAGCATAGAATTAATGGTTTGTGCAAAGGTTTAAACAACACGTAAGATGCATGTTGTTATCCATCACCGTCATAAAAGAAGTTCGGGAGGATTAGTGTCACAAGGCACCAAGATTCACATTCGGTAAAGTTTCCTAGATGGTTATGACGTACAAGCGTAAGTCATGCTGGAGATGTAAAGCTTTCGTTCGTAAGCTGCAGAAGAGGTAACGGGGCAAATTAAATATCTATAAGTTCTACGTCTAACAACAAAAAAAGCCACTACTTTAATGAATCCCTTCCAGTCGGTAGTGATAGTCTACTCATGCACAAATAATTCCGTTTGATCTATATACCTCAGTCAAACCTGGGAATGTCACATATTCTTATCAGTGTACATGTGATGATAATTATTACAAGGTAAATGATACTGAAGTGAATAAGAAGCAAACTTTCTCCGTTCCCCTTTTAATTTCCTGTCTATTTGACCGCCACCTCCATCTTGAATTATATCACTTACTCTCCAGTCTGTCACAGTTGTTCACTTTACCCTTCCAATCACATGTTTGCTTATCAACGTCGAAAGCCAATCCGGAGGGGCAACTGATTTGCTTTATACCAGATTTTGTGCACCTGATGAAGAAAATAAATAACAAACTAAGCTTATTATGTGTTAAAATACTCAGAAACTGTAAAATGCCACGAGATTCGCTGCCTGCTCAAACACTCTGTAGTCAGATGTTTCGTGTTATAGGAAACATTTTGCTAAACCGTTTATGCTAATGCTTGTTTTCAGTTTCGCGACTTCTAACACTTTCAAATTTGTAGACCATAACTTTGTGTGAAAGACAAAGTGTACTTGGGCCCACATTTATTCGCTTTGTTTTCACCAACAGGTACTTAAATTGATTACGATATCACACGTTAACGTAAAACGTCTTACAACGAACATATAGTATTTAAAATCATTAAAGCATAGAATAATGAAAATTAATTTTCTGGTTAAATAGAGACAAAACAATCTTGATCCTAAGACGTCTGTCTTCTGTGCTTTTACGGTTGGTAGAGTTTACGTTTCAGAGATTTCTGCCGCCACTATCACCAGGACGATGAACGAGCCACCCGCGAGGTGATGGTTGAGATGTGGGAACTAGTTGGTAGACATGGCAGAATCCTGGCCGGACCGGTTGGCTAATAATTATTGTTCGTCTGCTCCATCCGCGTTACGATATTGACAAGCGAGCGTGAAAAGTCAGCATGGACGAATTAAAAATCTAAAGGCAATAACAGAGCGAACTAGCCAATATTTCCCTGACACATATATAAATAAATAAAAGATGAACTTTGTTTGTGATTAGGCGCTTGAAACTTACACGCGAAACGTGGTAGAAAAGTGTGGCTAGAATTTAGATTTCTGTTACTGTAGAGGACAAACGAAGCGGATCATTAGTGACATTTTACGTGTTTCTGCGGATGTACAATCATACTTACTTTCTACTCTATCACAGTTTTTAACATTGGTTTTCCAATCACAAGTTTGACGCTCAATATCAAAAGCTAAGCCGTTAGGACATCTGACGGATGCAAGGCGAGTAATTCCGTTCTCCCCAGCCTGGTCACACCTGTGAGAAAATACATCATTTTTCACAGATATCTCATGAACACTCAAGACCCCGTGCAAGGTAAAAAGATTGAAGTACATTGACATTCCAAAGGTGTCTTTCAAGTCGTGTTACTTAGGTCGTTGTTGCGTCTTATGTGATTCTTAAACTTGTGATCCCAGGTCATTGTCACGTTTTAGGTCATTCTTGCTTCGTGATATCAGGTGATTGCTGCGCAACAGTTGGTTCCCACAACGAATCCTCAGGTCTCTGATAGACGACGTGGACACACAAAATGTCGTATTACATTGACAAATATTGCGCATAGACGCGCCGGTCTACGATGATTATGTTCTAAAGTAAGCAAAGGCAGACTTTCAGATTAGAATGCAGTGCAATGGGAATTGATACTTACCGAGCATAATGTGTAGGCTATTAACAAAGTAGGAACTAGAAAGTAGTTTACCAATTGATGGTTTCTTACAGAAAGAATTTGTCATAAATCTTGTTTTGTTTATTAATTATTTTATATTTATTTTAGCATTAAATTTAAGAAATGCGTGTGTTGTAACAAGCATTTAATTTCACTACTTGCTGTGGTCTCTTAATAATATTAAATGTAGATTAGTATTTCCCGACGAAGTTTGAACATAATATTAAATATTTTTCATGAAACTTGAAAGAGACTGGAAAATCAAACTATAAACTCTAAAATTTACGCATGTGAGAATTCCTAGAACATATTTCTGAGCGGAAGTACAATGCCACAGTCATACTGAAACAAACACTTGAATATCATATCATAGGTATGCACTTTTGGGGCAGATCGTCAGTTCGTATGCTCGGGAATGTCCCAGCGGGTCAGTAAGACAAGCCCGACATTCTTCGAAAAGTTCCAAATAAATTATTGACAGTCTGTCCGAAAAAAAATCCTTGTGCAGCGTATGAGTACTGATTGATGTGTGCAGATTAAAAGTCAGGATCCCCGGTTTTATTTGAAGTGTTGTTGTTGTTGTTGTTGTTGTTGTTGTTGTTGTTTTTTTTTTTTTTTTTGTTTTTTTTTTTTTTTTTGTTTTTTTTTTTTTTTTTTGCAAAATAAGACATCATTTCAGCATAAACATACCTGGGTCAATATTTTCCCACGATCCGCCCCTGAATGTTTAAATATTTTTGTGCATAATTTGTATTTGACTACCTTTGCCAACCTACTATCTGCAATACCACAATACCTTACGACATCCCTGCAGTCTCCTTCTGTACTAAGTCGGAAGTACTCGTCGGGTGGTCGGTTTAGGCACAGTTCGTCCACCGACTGCTCATCCGACTCGGTCTCGTCTTCCTGGCGCTTCTGTCGCAAGTTCGACGCCACGGCTGCATAAGATAATACACGTGTCTGTTAGGCATAAGCTACTGTTGCATATATAAATTGCAGAGATGAACAAGTGGGCATTGTAGTATTTTTACACAAGGAGCTTATGGTTTTTGTGCAGCACGTTACAATATTTAGATTTTTCGACGTTTTCTGAACTAAAACTTGACTACAATTACTCCAAGAACAGCAAAGTGCCGTGCGAGAGATGATGCTTGTACGTAGGTTATGTATGATCGAATGATCGCTGCTGTAAATGAAGTAGTAATTAATGTTTAAATGTGGTTTAAATCGAGCACGGCGTTCGTATATCATTAGGTAAAGACGCATTAATCCAGTTGCTGTAAAATTAACTTTCCCTTTTAAAAGAGTTCAACAGCTTGGAATATTATGAGCATTTCTAACTGGTATGAAGCAATCCTAACCTATTGGGCAACAAAATGTTGTCTTCGCTTCGGTTAGGTGAATGGAAGAACAAGTAGGCGTCTCCCCTGCTAGTAATCCGCCACTGCTTATAATCTGTCCTGAGCTTGCACAATGCGTGGTGGGTCGTGATCTGTACGTGGGAACAAGCTAGCTTTACCTAATGACATTTCGTCACGGACAAACAATATTCCGGTCGTTGAGATTTGACACAGCCGAGAAGGGACTTGAATGAACGGCTGATCGCCTAATCACACTAATACGGCGATGTAGTGTCATGTTATTTACGTTTCTGTCATACAAGCAAGGCAGTATGTCATTTAGGCATGTATCGGCGTTGTATTACTGCAAAATGATGTGATGGGATTTCATTTTATAAGAACGTTCTATCAAAAATGCGAAGTTTCCTTTGAATCCAAACCGTGTCACATTATTATTAGCGATTACACGACGAATTAAGCCAACGGGTCGGCGTTGATGTCAAGCCCTCGAGGAGATACGTTTGTAAACCAGAATTAATACCAGAAAATAAGTTGCACTATGACCCTAAAATATTTTACGAAACTTCGTACGAGAATTCTTTAAACATTTTACAATAAAAAAAATTGAGTAAGTTACATTTTTATTTACGATTCAATAGTTAAAACACATTATGTAAAATTTATATTTTATGATCAGATTTTACGACTTACATGTTTAGGACAAGAGTTGTGAAGTAGTTCCTAGTGAATGCGTCTGATGTTTATATTTATAATTTTATTGAGAAGAACGTATAATGCAAATATTATTACTAACATTTATACACATGTAAATAATTAGTGTATATTTTCAGCTTAGAAGGAGAACTGCTATCTATTTCGAAACTATTAGGTTTGGTACATATCCTGCAAGAAGGAAAATAAATTTGAATTATTAATGTAGTGAAGAAGGTACGGTCAGATCACACTCGTGAGTCACTTTGTTTTATAATATATAAGATAATTAATCCATGTTCCGTTCTTACAATTTCTCTTTTCATGAAAAATCCATTCAGCAGATGACAATAGAAATAATTGTTCAGGTCGGTGACAACACTCCCTTTGCCTGTCGATTGGGGGGAGGGAATTGAGGCCACTTGGAGGCGAAGGAAGGGAAAAAAAAAAAGCTGATTGATGAAGAAACAGTCTCCCCACTTTTCCTACGATGCCAAGTAATTTACAAAATATGGGCCAGATCTCGGTAATTTTGCAAACTTAACAATATCACGCGTATGCATTTGATTTTTAAAATTCATGCTCCCAAAATTTATGTCTGTAACTAACCACATTGAAAGCAGTGCTTTCCGAAGGCTCTACATGAGGTTTCTTGCAAAATATCCGTAACTCAAATTTTAGCGTTGGTATTTTGGAAACTAATGCATTTTATATACATCACAAAGCACACTTTGCTCGATGTAGATGTACATGAGTGAGGTGGTAGTTTGTTAGAAGTTTTGATCTGATTACAGTTTGGATATGTTCTGTAATTGTTTATCTATATCTATCAGCGATGTACTTGGATAGCAGCAGTTACAATACCATTAAGAAATCAGTGTAAGAATAAAATATATCTTAAGGACATGCTGTCTGCATATTTTCCGACACAATCCCCTTATAGGTTATTCTTTTCTTGATAAAAGTTTTGTTTTATATGATAAATATTCCAGTTCTCTGTATTTCTGCTACAGACGATAAATTAAATGAAGTTCTATGTTACAGGTATTAAAATTTGCTAAAAGTACAAGTTTCTAAGCCTATTTTTATTCTTTATACGAGGACGTTCCTTGTTGCAGATCATCTACAGGGATTAGATACATATTTTGGCATAAAGCACTACCATGACTTCTCCGTGGCAGAAGAGGGTAAGTTAATAGCTTTCAGATAATAATAGTTCACGCTTTTACAGAACATATTTTTAATTATAATAAAAGTGAATAAATTGTGTACGAATAAGGCAGCATTGCGCAAGAAACTGAAGGCTTCCTTTCACACTTTTCGTTGAAGGACAAGTTTCGAACTTTCTAGAATGCTGAACAATATACGGCATAATGGGTCATGTGGAAATTCATCATGCATGAACCAAAATGGTTTAGTGACAAACTACTACTCCGTTGAATAAAGACAATACAATCCAAGTGTGTCATAATATAATACACGATATTTCGGAGACATTTTTTATCGTTGCGTATGGTTGAATTTTATTACGAATACGTCATCACAAGAAACAAGGCCAGTCGAAGGACTGTGTCAGTCTGTCCACATATTTTTTTAAAAAAATACATGCATTGCAAACGTATTTTGCAGAATTTCTTACTAAAATTTGTGGGGAAAGTGCCTTTCTGTGATACAGATCAATAGGGAGTATTATTTTTTCCGAAAGTAACGTATCGAATATTATTACAATACAGTTTATGTAAAACGACTTTAAGTTATTTCTTACTGTGAACCTTTGTATGAAATAATCAAATGTGATTTGGAATGCAATTATAAGTACCTCAGGATTACACCTCAGCTCGTATTTTCCGGACTAAATGCAAGATAAGTGTTTAGTAGCAACGTAGTAGATTGTTAAATTTGCATTAAGCATCGAGCTTAAGATTACCAGTAGTCATTAACCCTGTAAGGAATATATATAGGCCAATATCTCTGACCTTCACCGGCATTGAAATTTAAATTTAGGCTTACATATTTTTTGGCAATTCATTGCTTATATTTGCTTTCTCAATCATATATTATCTTCTGTTCTACAAATGAACAACTCCTCACACAACGAAAGATGTCACCCAAATTTCAACAGTAATTCGAGTATTCCTTTAAAACGTATCTTGTCTTATGGGAAACTGCTGTAGTATTGTAGGTACAGGCAACACGTTCCTCAAAAAACGTTTGTAAATGTTAAGAATCTGAAAGATTATACGGCGTTATTTATATAAGACAATCATGTAGCCGCTCATGAAAATTGGAGGCCTAAATAATTCTTCTACGTCTTCCCCAGACACTACGTAAGATGTTCCGAAAAATGTGACTGTTTCAGTTCAGATTCCGGTTGTATAAATTACAGTTATTCTATTGCGTCATTTTTTTTTCGACTTGTAAATATTGTACTGCATGAAGACATATTCAGGATTCGATAGCGATCACATAAAAGTACTTTCCAGTCATTTTTTTTTTGTAGGGGATGTACAAAAACTCTAAAATTCGGGATTACGTTAATTTCAAACTTCTTACTTCCTGAATACTACACAGAGTCGTTACTGTTACATCGCGTCGTTTATAAGACGTACCATATGTCACTTATCCAAGTAATAAATTAATATTCTGTAATGTCGCAATATCGCGTATTGTGCACTGAATATTACCATTTTCTCTCACTTCTCAACATAACCCCTCATTAAGCCCCCCAAAAACCTTTCTGATTTGCGTAGAAACTTCTCACAAATGTTTAAATTGCAAAGAACGATGCTGTTAGTCTGAAAGAAACCTGTTGCTAATGAACTGCTCCCACTCTTTTAAGACGCAGTTTTCCTTTCTCCTGTCTCCACTTCGAAAGGAAACGTCGCTTAGGCGGCACAACGCTTGAACTAACAGACGTTTTGACACGAAAAGGAAAGGAACAAAAAGACATGTAAAGCAGCGGAGAGGGGATCGAGCTAACCTCGATAAACCTGCCGGAGATTTCTCTACCACCTTTGTCTTTCGAATGTGCACTGTCTGTTTCTGAATGTTACGTTCCTTCAAGGTAAACTGGCGGAGACGTGAAAGGTTGGAGTAAATTGTCCAACTGTACAGTTAACGGTAATAAATGTAATGTAACAAAGAGATATGAGAAGACCTATAATCTATATCACAATTAAAACAACGACAATATAATCAGTCCCGGATGCAAACAAATGTGAAGAAAAAATAAGTTTTTTATTAATAGTACACATTTATTTACACGAAAAATAATATAATGCGTGTACAAAATTAAGAATGAAGAAAAGTTATTTATTTATTTGGTTATGCTTTAGAAGAACCGATAAATTTGCAGAAAAGGCTGGTATTCATACCTAATGTGATTTTATTATAGTCTAAAAGAGACTTAAATGCAAGTGAAATCATTTGTAGATTTTTCCCCCTATGATGTAGGCAGTATTTCCTACCTGTGTTCAGAAAGAACAGAACAAAATTCTTTATGTAATTCATGTATGAATAACATACCAGTAAGACTGCGGTTCTAAGCAAAAGTTAGAAATTTCTTTGAACAATTACATGGACAATTTCCTATCTTTCTAGCACAGATGCTTAGTCAGTTAGAATATACTTTTGTAATTGATGACGTGCCAGTTTTGTTTTGTAACTGCTTCCTTTAAATCACTTTTAGGTTGTTTTTTTAGCAAATGCATTCTATCTGTAAACACGTTCACACTTGATGTTATTTGTAAATGAAGGTTTTTACGCCACTTCTGTTATATCAACCGAGAACTTTAAAACAAATAACCGATTCCGATCAAAACGGGCACAAAATTTCCACACAGTTTCACTCTTGGCGATCTCGCCGATGCAAAGCCTTATTAATTGTAAGAATTACTGTACTTACATAATCCAAAGAGAAGGAAGCACAACCAGACAGTTGATCTTGCCATCCTGGTCAGAAATTAACTCAGAACAGCCGACCTCTCTGCGCAAAGAAACTTACGGACGTCTCTTTTTATTTTATACCTGTGTCAATCGCGCATGCGCTACAAGAACTCCACACGCTTTCAAGTTGGTCACCAACCAATGCAGTTGGTTAGCAAGCTTAAAGGTTCTTCTAAAAAGTTAGCCACTTTCACCGGCTTCTGAGCACTGAGTCACTGGTCCGCCTTGGATTCGCACCGCACAACACACTTCGTTCTGGGCCTGTACGACATAAAATGACAGCCTCTGGTCTCCACTCCCCTTATATGAACCAACACGTTAATTCTCTCGGTAGTGCATACCAGTGACGTCACGCTCCAGATAGTATCACTCGAAGAAACGAACTGGATACTATCCAATCCCCACTTCAGTCCTCGCCCTCTCGTGCAAGTTCTGCCAGTTGCTTTCTTGACGATTTCGGATCGAAGAAATCTTACACATTAGATTGATGAACGTCGGGTCCATGAAACACACAACCATTGAAGATGGCTGCCTTCTGGCTTGTTCTGCCGTGTAGCCTGGTAGAAGTTTACCGACGTTTCAGAAGTCCTTGCTGCCTCCGTCATCAGTTATGAGGCAGCAAGGACCTCTGCCCCATCACTGCTGATAGATGTAGCAAGGACCTCCGAAACGTCGGTAAACTTCTACCTGACTACACGGCAGAACAAGCCAGAAGGCAGCCATCTTCAGGCTCACCGCCGTGTAAACCTCAAATCTTACGGAATATTTGTTCTGTTACTATCAGAGGCCGAAGCTGTTGTATGGCGTTTGAATGTGGTCATTTTTTTTTCGCTGAATGTGTACAGAGAGTCATTGAAGGGAATTTTTTTTCGTACCAAACCAGTCTATAGTCAGTAGAAATGCCATTATGCAAGAATCGAACACTAGTTTGTTGTCTTCTGGCCCCAGATTTTTACCTAGAATATTGCTTTAGTGTTTTCCTGTAACTGAAGTTGTGAGTGAAATAAAACATGTGCGATGGTGCACTTTGACATTGGCGCCGCCGTGGTGTCCGGATTCAGTCAGATTCACCGGAACTTCCAAAATTACCGGTTGACCATAGCTACGAGTTTTAAAACATTAACATGTCTTGAACTGGTTTTGGGGCATTGTATAAATGTATACGGTAGACCACGAGCAAGCGAACAGATGTTAGGCGCGTTCGCAATGTCCATTTCAGTTTGCATTGAAATCGAAGAAGCCAACAACCGCTTTACATAGGAACATTTTCTTGGTGCAATCTTTATTGTACTCGAATATCACCATCGTTATATTGGCGGTGTGTCGTGGTTTCTTTCAGATGGGAACTGAATTTCGATTTAGGTCGTCAGACCAACCTAATCTATATCAAAGAAATCTATTGGCACTTTATTTTAAATAAATAAACTTGTGTAAATTAACCTTTCAAGATTTTGGGCTACACTCACCCTCATGCCTCCGAGCTACAAAGAAAAAGCATTTTTGAAACCATATGACAAGTTACTCCACTTCTAGGGGAAAAAGTTTGTTTATTATGAAATGGTTTTCCTTAATAGATGTCTTGATTTCTTATTTTCTTTAATTGTTCAGTTACAATTACGTATCTAACTTAGGAGGTAATTATAATTGAGACGAAACAGTAGGAATTTCAGAAGCAATTTATGAATTTCTAGCAGTTTGGGTTTAGCAACGTTAACAATTCTTTGAAACGCCGAATCATTGAGATTCTTACAAATGAGTGTCACTGAACGCCGTTAAGGAACATACTCCCTATAATGTTCCTAATTTGTAGCACACACTTCCTGATGTCCTTCGAATCTGAAGCAGCCAATAAGCAAAGAATTGTGTACCTGCTTATCTAGAATGTAAATGCTGGGAGTTACCTTGACATTTTCTTGTTTCGTATGGCAATCTCTTGTATTCTACTTATTGCCGTTTAGCAGGTGAGATTGTAACTGTTGATGGAACATCGCACTCCTTATTAGGTCTGTTTAATGTTTGTATATCCATCCATACGACCATCCGGAAAGTCTGATAGAAGAAGCAGAATATGAAAATGAAAACGGGATTCGTTTACCATTTTTGTGAACACGGTAATGGACCTTTGGATTTCCTGTTTCGCCGGGAATTTCTTGACTGAGCGACTTTCAACTACTCAAGGACTTTACTCCATAAAGCTGGCTAATAAACTGAGAAATATTATATCTTGAGTGGAGTTTATTGACAGATTTTTAAAAACAGTTTTTTATGACGAGTGTTATACGTGATAATTATGGTAATGAATATTGCAGAGACTGTAACAGGGGAAGCTGAATAAACGCGAAAAGATCTGACTTCAGATGTTTTTATCATAGGGCATATTTTTTATGGTTTGGTGTTTTTAGAAAGAATTTGAACTCTTGCCTTGCTTGATATGCTCTATCCCAGTCGTATTCAACCTTTTTTGATTGCGTACCCCCAGATATAATTTCTCTTCAACTTTGTACCCCCAAAGTTGTTCGTGTATAATTCAAATTATACATAGTATATAATCTACATCTAAAATAAATTACATTACTGATTATTCAGTGTTTATCATAAAATAATATATATTTTTTTAAATTTCACGTACCCCCAAGATGTCATCGCGTACCCCCGGGGGTACGCGAACAAAAAAGGCTGAATACCACTGCTCTAGGGAATCGGACCCTATCAAGACCGCACTGATTGTACTTACCATTGTGTTTCTTGGGACAAGATTAAACTAGCTTGGATTCAGTAAAAGGCATGGGATTTCTCTATTAGGTGAGCGGTTATAATTTCTCAAATACTCTGGTCCATGGATTTTGCGTTTCACCATATTGTCTTTTAGTAAAATACTTTATAAGATGCTTAAAAACAGGTTGAGATGTTTTCTAATGTATCGTTGGGTAGAGTAGAAGTGTGGATTATTAAGCCTCTAAATACCTGTATATACCCATATTATTCCACATTTACCACTGTGCAGTATGATTCTGTTAAGAGATACACATTAACATATATGTATATGAATGGATTTAACTTAGGAAAAGAGTAATTGAGTTTTATTTCTGATGTGTGAATTCTTACCATGATTGTTATATGATTAGGCCTGTACCTGAAAGCGATGTCAGAGTTTGAATATTTTAATTATTTGGTATGGGCTTTAACTTAACGAAGTTCGTCAGTATCTCGTTCATGAATGTCCATTAAACTATTTAGTCTGTTTCCATATAATCCCAGAGGGCTTGAAGTAGGCTGCTTTTAGGTAACGCGATACTGAAACTTTCTTTATTTATGGACGGATATTGCAATATGCATATGGACATTAGTGAGGGTGATAAAGTAACCTATGTGTAATAATTACGAACTACGCTCGCTTAATCATCTGCGTTTGTTAGGTTGTGTCCTATGCTTCGACACATCCATTGACACGAAATTGGAATATAAATTACTTGAGCGTAGATGTACTTGGAACATAAGCCTATGTAGGTCATTAAAACTTGATTTACAGAATGTGAAAAGTGATGGTTTGCCAGCCCTAGTAGGCTATTCAAACACTCTCGATTTCTCCTCTTGGAATGTGAACAATTCAGATAACACAGGCGATAGTAAACAATTGTAATATGTGTCTTGTCCTTATTTGATTCGCTGGAGAGTCGGTGACCGTGGTTCTCGGTTAGAGAGTCTGTTAAAGAGAGGGAATATACATTAACTACCAAGTTCAATGTCATTCTATACAGTAATGACCTCAAGAATATAATTTTTATTTAGCTGGATTGTATTTTTATTCGTACTTTCATTTTAACACGTTTATTGTATTAACTCACTGAAATGAATCGTATCTCAAGAGTTCTATTGAGGGCAATGACCTGTTTGTTTTAGAATATGAGACTTGAAAGTTTGTGTGAGTATGTACTGATGCATGACCTCAATTAATTTCACCCCAGTTGCACGGACCACATGTTGGCATCCATAAGGCTAAGCTTGAGTTTACTGGTGTGCCGTGAATTCTTAGCAGTTGTCACC